CAACCCTGAGCCGGTGAGATTTGAACCGCTGACCTGCTGATCTAGCAGTAGCCTGCAGTGCTGCATTTAACCACTGCGCCACCTTGGCTCTAACAACCTTAAGTTGTTAACAACCTTAAGTCTCTTTACAAGGATCTTTTGGTTGAGTTTTGTTGCCATGTTTTGAATTTTTTTTTGTAATTTTTGAGTCATCATTAAGGGCAGACCCATGCAAAGAACATTGCTGTATTTCTAATGAGAGGTTGTTACAACACAGCTCCCAGATAAGGCCCAATTAGTCATCCAGGGATCACATGAGGCCTGAGTGCCAGAGATGAATCCATACCAGTGATGGCTAACCTTTTTGTTGTTGTGTGCCGAAAGTGTGTGCGCATGCACCCATAATGCAATGCACGGATGACCCTACCACCCCTGTGCATGTGTGTGCAACCTTCCATGTGTGCCCTGCCCTACGCATGCATGTGTGACCCCACATGCTCCCCCACCCCCTTGCCCATTTTTGGCTTCCAGGTTGGTGCAGGACCTGGAAGCCAAAACGTGCCCCGCTGTGCCCCGTTTTGGGCCTGGATGGCTTGCACCAACCTAGAAGCCAAAACAGGGCACAGAGGCTCTACACAAGGGCCCAAAATACAATGTGAGCATCCCCCCTGTGCATGTGCCCCATCCCCCACACATGCACGCCCCCGTCCCCCGCATGCACCCCACCCTCTGCATATGCATGGCAGAGACCTGAAGACATGCTGACTGGCAGGAGGCGCACGTGCATGTGCAGTGGAGCTGGGTTGGGTTGACAGCTGGCGTGCCCACAGAGAGGGCTTTGCATGCCACCTGTGGCACGCATGCCATAGGTTCGCCATCACGGATTTATGCCATGGGGTAGGGGTAGGGAATGCACTTATATCAGAACCCAAGATCTACTCAGTTACTTGATCTGTGACTAGTTACTTAATCTATAATTCCTTGATCTTGAGAGGATCCATGAAGCTGATCTACTGCAACTTTTTCAAGTATCTTTCTCAAGAAGTATGTGTCTGTGCAGTAGGATTGTATTTCATCAAGTCTCTTCTCATGCAGGGGTTTTTGCTCTTCCAATGGGTAATGCTGTAAAATGATTTTGGAAGAGTCAAATCAAACAACTCCTGGATGCTATTGATAAAACCTCTGAGACTGAAAACACACACAATAGTGAAGACTTCCTCAATTTACTCCATTGATATACCCATGGAGCCATGGTATGGAAATAATGTGTCAATCACCTTTTGAATTCTTAAATTGTCTATCACAATCAGAATGTTTGGGTAACCATTTTATCTGAACTGATGAAATGTGCAGTGAGATACAAATATTTCCCAACATCTAGTTGAATAAGTGAGCAATTGAGTAACTGCATAAAGTTAGGATTTACAACATTCCTGAAGCTTGACAATTAACTGAATGTAGATAATTTGACTTTACCTGCAGAAAACAATTAGAGAACTTGGTGATATCCAAGCTGTCATCAGTATCTACAGAAATGAAAAGTATGTAGTTCAAAGATTTATGACACTACATTGCACCATGAAATTATTCCTTGTGTAATATATTTTCCGACTCAGTTACACAATACATACTACACCCATCCAAATCCCACAGCTTTCATTTTCTGTGCATGCATAAATGTCTGTATAAAACTGAATCTTCCTTTGAAAAATGTGTAGAATATTGCCTTAATACATTGAGGATCTGAGGGCCTAACCCGATGATGGCGAACATTTTGTGGCTCACATGCCAAAAGTGGGGGGGAGTGCAGGGGGATCATGTGCAGGTATGCCACAACCATAATGCTATGCACATGACCCCAGCGTGCATGCACACAGGACCAGTGCTCCCCCCATTTTTGGCGTGCTTTTTTCATCTTCCCCAGGCTCCAGAGGCTTTATCGGAGCCTGGGGAGGGTGAAAACAGCT